TCCCAGGGGTTAGAAAAGGGCCTTGGACATGGGGCCTGTGTCCACACGAAGCCAGCGTCCAGAGAGAGAAATGCCAGTCTGTGGCTCCCGCTCCTGGGGACACTTTCAGCGAAGGGATCCAGCGAGGAAGACGGGACTCATTTCACAGACCTGCCCCCGGAGGGAGGTGTGGGCAGGTGGCCCCAGCCGGGGCAGGTGCAGCCGCCAGGCACTAACAAGGGCCTAGGAAGAGAGCGCCCGCGCACTTCTCTGTCCCGAGAACAGTGTTCAATAGCCCTCAGCACCTTGGGCTTAAACATTTTTGAGCCCCAAGACCTCAGCACAATGGCACATCCTTCAGAGGCCCCAGAAAATATCTGTTGAATTATAATAGTCCCAACACACACACACACACACACACACACACACACGCACACACACACACACCATTTACCGACAGCTTGCTATGTGCCAGGTACTTGACCTACAGCGTCTAATGGTCACAACCGCACTGCAGGGCAGGTGTTAAGAGCATCCTCACCTTCTGACAGGTGAGAACAAAGAGGCTCAGAGAGGGTGACGGGCTCATCCAGGGCGACCCCGTCAGGAAGCAGGAGACTGAGGATTTGAGACCCATGTCTGTGTGACACTCAGGTCCATACTCTTTCCTCGTGTCCCCTCCACCCCTCCCTGTAGCTTCTTCCGTGCACTCCCTCGGGTCCTTCCTGCCTGTCCTGAAGGAAGCACGGACAGCGGCCATTGTACTGAGGGCTCACCCCAACCTCCTCGTAGCTCACTGCACCTGCAATGGCCCTATTTCCAGTAAGGTCCCGTTCAGAGGCTCCAGGGGGACAGGGATTGGGGGGAGGACACCATGCAGCCCGTTCTCGATTGTGAAGTGGCAAGACTGTGAGTGGGGATCCAGCCGGGAAGCCGGTCCCACAGAGGGAATGAGGCCTGACGCTGCCATAAAAGCAGGACCCATCGCCACACCAATGACTTGTCTGCGTGCGTCTCTTCTCAAGGGGGAGGGGAGGTAATGACACAGTGACTCCTGTCGGAAGGGACCTTAAAGATCAAACCACCCCCCTTTCCTCTGTTTACGGAGGAAAGTGGTGGGACCAGTGCCGTACAGCCGCGTCGTCCGTCGGGGGGGTCCCTTCCTGTGTGTGAACTGCTTTACCGCACGCTGCCTCTCAGTCAGGGGTCGTGTAGACGGGGCCCCCAGGGGCCGAGGGGCTCATTGGCAGAGCTCAGAGCTGTCTCAGCCGCCCACGTGTATTAGGCCCGCGCCGAGCGCCAGGTGCTGTGCGAGAGGCCTGAGTTCCTGAGCTGCTGCCCTCACGTGTCTGTGACCAAGGAGAGCCCGTTAGGAACGTCCTCGTTTCCCAGGGAGGCACTCGGTGCTCAGTGAGGCTGCGGCCTGCCCAGGTCTCACGGTGGAAGCTGCACTGGGACCAGTGCCAGGTGATCCACAGGCAGTTTTTAAAATGATGATGACGATGATGATGACGACGACATTAATAAAGATATATAGGGGGACGGGTTATAAACATTTGATCAATTCAAGTGGCCCCAATTTGTCTTGATCCCAAAGAGGATGTCTCCATGTCCCCAGTTTGGGATTAAGAAGCTCCGGGAGCTTAGATGACTCACTACTCTCACCGCCCCTGCCCCCCGCCCAGCCCCCGGTCTGTGGGCGACTCCAAAGGAGAGGCACAGGGGCCCAGGAGGTCCCTCCCGTCCAGCCAGGGGCCAGGGCTCCAACTTCATTAATCCCCGTCTCCCTGCCAGCATCCCCCTCGCCCTCCACTGTGCACAAGAAGCCTTTTCCTTCCCTGGGATTAAGGGACCTTTGCAGGTTGTTCAGAATCATGTTCCTTCAAACGAGTGGCCAAGTTCTCTTTTTTCCTTTGAGCCCGAAGTGCCGAGCCAGCTGCTGGGTGGGGAAACGCTGCCTGTCATGCCCAGAGCTCAGGTGGTGTCTGCTTGAGTGGGTTTTTTCTCCCTTTTAATTATTCTTTTTCTGCAAAGGGTTCTGGACTGGCAAATCCCATCGCAAAGCCCCAAGAGGCGCCATGTCCCTCCCTAATGGCCCCAGCAAGGCTGAAGACACAGGGGTGGGCAGGCAGAGGGGGACACCATCAGCCCCACTGACTCAGCCCTGCCTCGTCCCACAGCTGCCTCTGCCCATGGCACTGCCTCCGGGCATCCTACTCAGTCTACCGGTGCCCTCAGTGCCCTCAGTGCGGCCAGAGTAGGAGGTTACCTGTGGGTGGAATCTGAGGCTAGAGCCAGCGTGGCCTCACCCTAAAACATTCTCCAACACACTAACCCTGGTCCATACCTGAAATTGCACCGTTTACCAAGCATCCCATTAAGCTTTGCCTACTGCCTGCACACCTGTGCTCAGGGTGAAAATGCAACTGGCCTGAGTGATAGCCCCTGTCACTCCCACTTTAGTATAAATTAGTCCACAGGTGGTTTCCAGAGGTCAGAGCAGCGGGAGGATACTTGGCACCTTGAGGTGGTGGGTGGGAGTGGGGGGGGGGAGGAACAATGTGGAAAAGTAAATATTTAGACATCACTAGAGAAGGGAAGAAAAGAAGGAAGCCAAAAGCTGTTATGCACCTATTGCGTGCCAGCCTTTGACATCTACATTATTTCTATTTTCGTAACAACCCTCTAAGGTTGGCATTATCATCCACATTTTGGAGTTGACTCAGCAAAGCCCATCCCAGCTAAGTCGTCTAACCCAGTGGTTTCTGGACTTTAGTGGGCACAGGACCCCCCTGGGAGCCTGATGGAAATTCCTGGCCCCACCCCCGAGGTCCTGGTCTTGTATGGGACCCAGGAATTTATAGGTATAATAAGCTCCTAAGTGATCTTATTCACCTGGCTAATGACAGTTCAGAGGATGGGCCAGCTCAGCCTTCTTGGGCCAGTGAGACATGAAAGGAGACTTGCCAGGGGCCTCGGAGAAGGAAGCCTGGACCCTGAGTGCTGCCACAGCCACTTTACAAACATGAGAGGAGGACGTCCGAGAGCAAAGCTGTGGAGACCTGACTCTGCGGGCAGCTCAGTGACACGGCACAACCTGTAAGCCAACCCTGCTCTGGACTCCCTCTCACACGAAGCAATAAACCTCCTAAGTTTAAGCAACACCGGCTGGAGTTTCCTGTTACTTCCAGCTCAAAGCAGCCAGACACTAGTATCATTTTCAAATGGAGAAAGTTTCAGTCCAAGCCCAAGGTCACACAGCTGGTAGCCCACGTCTGCCCAATGCCAAGTATGTTTCCAATTTGCCACCCTGCCTAAGTGGCCTTTTCTCCAATATCTGAGATGACTCCCCATCTACTGTGGCCCAAGTACTTGGGGGTCTTAACCATCTAATCTATCACCAAGAGGTTAACAATTCCATCCATCCGTCCATCTGTCCATCCATCCATTCCTTCACCCATCATCCACCCATCCTTCACCCATCATCCACCCATCCTTCACCCATCATCCACCCATCCTTCACCCATCATCCACCCATCCTTCACCCATCATCCACCCATCCATCCATCATCCACCCATCCTTCACCCATCATCCACCCATCCTTCACCCATCATCCACCCATCCTTCCCTTCATCAAGCATTTATCCTGTGCTTGCATGTCAAGCATTGTGCTCCTTGCTGGTGGTCACTGTAGGTAAGACTCAGTCTGAGTCCTGAAGCACCTCCTCTACATTCTCAAGGCTTTGGCATTGCATTCAAGCCACTGACACCCAGTCCTGTTGAGGTGGCAGATAATAAAAGCCCAATCTTCTTTTATTCAACTCAGATTTATACAGCTTTGGAAAGCTGGATTTTTTTTTAACATCAGTAAAGCAATTCAAGATCTTCA